ATCAATTTAGCCGTCGCTCCTGGTACAAATAAAGTTGACCAAGTTTCACTGCCATAAAGCAGAGTGCTGAGAACACAAGCCTGATAGACAAGGGCTTTTGTTTTAACCGTAAGCTTTCCGTTCTCCCATGAGCTTTTTTTTGTTTTTTTTTGTTTTGTTTCTGTTAATCTACTCATTGTTGTTGCTGCCTCAACTTTCCGGATGTTGATTTCTTGGTCCAGCGATAGTTTGTTATTCACTGATAAACCCAGATAGGTAAAGTGGTCTCCAGTTCTGCACCGTCATTGTAGACAGCAGGTCTATCATTAACACCTGGCACCATAATCTTTGTCTTCATTTTGCTGATTCGCATTATGCATCGACAGATGCAGATAGTAAACATGGCAGCTCCACCTCTGAGTGGATGCTTATTGCTGCATCATCTGCAAACAGCAGCTCAAATACCTTTCTTATCCTGGTTGTGGCTTTCAGCCTACGAGCATTGTGAAGGCTGCCGTCAGATCGAGAATGGATAATATACTACCCTCCTGATCTCGAAAGGCATGGTGCAGAAGAAGTGAGAAGTAGATTCCAAAAAGGGTTCGAGCAAGTACACATCCCTGCTTCACTCCATTGTTGAATACAAACTCTTCCGATGTTACATCATCAAAGTGGATTGTATCTTTCATACCTGTGTGGAAGGACTGAGCGCTCAGTAGGGTAGGTGGACACCTAATCTTTTTCAGTGAGTTGAACAGACCTTTTCGACTAACCAAATCTAATGCCTTGGTAAGATCAATAAAAGCAACATACAGTGGTTGATTTTGTTCACGGCATTTTTCCTGCAACTGTCGTAATGAAAATATGAGTGGTAGATCGGTTCCCACGAAAGCCACACTGTGTCTCTTAGAAGGGAACATAAACAACAGCCCAGAACCTCATTCAAGGAAAGGAAATTAAGCACAAAATACCTTTCATGGTTTCATAATGTGCACAATTGTCTACCTTTAAAAACGAATTGCATTTCTATATTCTTTGGAAATTGACAAACTTATTATTATTATTTTAATTGTTGGAATTATTAGTGGGGTGTGTGTTTGTGGGGCGGGTGGGGGGGGGGGGGTGTGGTTGAAAATTTCCACTTTGCTGTTTACAGGCGCAAAACTCGGCAGTTCATGAACAAGCAGACAGAAAAAGTTAAATTATACTATTAGTAAAATATATCGGAAACAAGTAGCAACAATGAAACAAAAACTGTTTATCACGCGTTATACACATTGGCCAAAAAGACATGCATTGATAAGCACTCATAAATAAATGTTGAAAGTAGCGCTGATCAATTATATATATGTTTGTTGTGTAAGTGTGCGTGTGGTTGTGTGTGTGTGTGTGTAATACAAACTGGGTATGGCAAGAATGTATAGTGCCCCCCCCCCCCCCCCCAAGTAAAAACTGGTGTTTGGCAGTCATGTGTACCCTCCCCAAGTCTTCTTATTTACACACATACAGGATTAAGACAGCACGAAAGAGTTCATTACCTTTGCCACGACACTGAGAGTTTATAATCTCTGGGTGGTTAGTCTTTCGGACAGTAGCGCGGGGAAGATGAATAATAAAAATAACAATAATAAAAATTTTGGTGATAGTATAAGGGGCCTTTGTGGCAAAGCAGTAAAGCCGTTTTCAAGGAGCTCTGAATTTTGTGGGTTCGTTTCACGGCTGTTTAGTTCAGGAGTGAAGTTTTGCCGCTCTGCGGAGAGAGACCGAGCCATTTGGGATAAAACCCAGTGCATTGCAGTTGATCCCCTTGGCTTTAACCTTTAAGATATATAGCCAGACTGACAAAGACAACAATAATCACCTGATCACTGACTGATCCGTGATTCTAGTGATCGTATGTATGAGATGGCGATTCGTGACAGCCTTCTTTCGCTTATCGGCTTGATAGTAATGATCATGACGACAACGACGATGATGATGGTGATGATCATGATGATACCGGGGACCACGTTAGTGCAGTCGATAGGAGACTCTCTTTCATATCCAGCTGCAAATCACTGCAGTCAACGGACGGTGTTCAAAACCGGGCAGTTTCCAGGGTTCACCTAGCCTCTAGGAAATGGGTACCAAAGTTGACATTTTGGGGTAAATGGAGGAACGTACTGTAGCTACGGAGTTACATGCGAACGGCGACACAGACGGACAATTTCTTATCAACTGTGGCAAAGCACTTATGGTTTATAACCGTGTGCAATGACGCTGGTTCACATCTCCCGACTTTACCTTTCACCGTCATGATGATACCGAATTTTATTGTTCGACCAGAAAATACAACTACTCCCTGGCCAATGGCGCGCTTCCTGTTTGAAACACCGGAAGTCAACTTTGAAATGTCACTACAACAACACACAATGTCGGAAGAGATCATTTTGAGTGGAGATGAATCGGTTAAATTCCATTGTTAGATTCACTTATTTAAAGCAGAGATGAAAATGTCCAAGTAGCCTCAAAACATTACGCAATGTTTACTTCAAATAACTTGGATGATTCTTATTTAGCAAAACTGCTACAAGAAGAATACGACAGAGAAGCAGCCGTAGTGTTGGATGACGAAGACCAAGATGACTCAAGAAACAGTTCAAACACCGAATCATCATTTGTCAGCAGTTATGACAAACGGAAGCCTGTTGTCCCGCCGAGAGAGGCCTTTATGCAAGAACTGTCACCGGTGGATCCATCTCTAGAGTTATCAGACCCCACTCCAGATATTATTTTGCTTTTTCTCGACTTTAATGAACGTTACTTTTGGGGTTCTCTAGCGGGTATTGAAGTCAAATGGAGCCCTAGAATGACGTTGTAAGTTTTAGTTATTATTTTTAACAAATGTAATGTCATGACAGTCACACTTGAACAGCCGCCAGTGGTCAACAAATCATGAGACCGAAAGAGTTGAGGCAATCTCGGATGTTGTGGATTTCTTTTGTGAAAAACAATTTGTTTATTGCCCACAATCTTCTTATAAAGTTTTGGGCTATCTTCCTAATAACGGTCCAAAATTATTGAGGCCGAAAATATACTCTAACAGATCCTCAGTCACATGTAAATTGCAGACTTCTGCCACCGCCTAGAGTATCTCCCACGCTGCTACACGCGGCGTGGATTGGAGCTAAACTAGATGGCTGGGACTCACAAGTAAATGAAGATAGCTGCAGGAGATGCAGTAGCTGCTGCTCATGAGTCCCAGCCATCTAGTTTAGCCCCAGTCCACGCCACGCATAGCGGCGTGGAAGATACTCTCGGTGGTGACGGTAGTAGCCCGAAGTGCACAATTTAAGTCACCTGAAGTCCGCAATTGACATGTGTTGAGGCCCTGTTAGGGTATTGTTTTGGCCTTGATAATTTGGGACCGTTATTTGGAAGATAGCCAAGTTTTGGTCACTGTAGTTGTATACTAATAAATCTGGTAGCCACAGAGGTATGTTTCATTCCTATAGTATAGCAAGTGGTTAAAATTTTCATGCAGTATTTAGTAAATACAATAATCTTCTTTGCGTTCACAGTCTGTAAACTTCAGCGGAAAGCTCTGGTTGTTTCTCCACTTCAGGGCTGCAGTCCTGTTCAGAACGTAAGAGTTGCGTGTGCATCCATTTTACAGATCTAACTGTTGGTTCCTTGCCTCTCAGGCAGACGCACTCCAACTTCAAAGAAAGTTCTCAATTAGTCTACTCTTACGACATGCTTTTGGGTAAGCAGTAGGTCTTTTTTCCCCCCTATAACATGGCCCTGTAACCTACACGGGGTAATATACTAATGATTTTGGTACAAAACCCTATGAGACTGAAAGCGATAGGGCGATCTTGGATGTGTTGGATTCCATTTGTAAAGAACAATTTGCTTATCTATCCCATGCAGTTTTTCTTGCTTAAACTCTTATGTGGATAAGAGGAATTTCTGATAAGAAGAACCATTACTTTGGTCTATGGTGAGTTCTCCTTATCAGGTCAGCACTATACTAATAAGGGCACATGGTTGATAAAGGTAGTGAGGTGGACTGTGGTTACAGGATGCCAAGGAGCATGTTGTATGGAGGGGGAAAATCATGACAGGAATAGGGATAAAGAAGAAAAGGATCACAGATTGGTTAAGAGCTGAGCATATGACGAAAAAGCACATTAAATTCATATACTGGGCTTGAAATCTCATTCTCTCACTGGAAGAGTTTTCGGTGCTTCTTAGCAGACCACAAATGATGTCACGGGACAGTCCAGTATTTTAGAGTGGTAAGAGCGGGTTTTCCGTGGTTTCTGTGCGTTTCTTCCAAGGCCAAAGTTTTTGTGCGTTTACCTAACCCTAACCAAAACTATACGTTCAATCGACCACCCCTTGAAATATTTGACTCTCCCATGACCTGTGGATTTTCCCTGTTTGTGGTCGGCTAATTAAAAAAGTACCAGGTTTTCTAAACACTCACCATCACTATGGGCCATAATTTCCAAACTTTCCTATGGCACAATTTAACAGTATTGTTTACACATATGGAAAGGTGCCAGCAACTATGTGCAGTAATGTTTGTTAGTTTGTGTTCACTGGCTGTAAGCCCTGGTTGTTTGTCCATCTCTAGACTTTGGCTTTGTTCAAGGACCTGAGTTTTGTGTGTGCACTCATTTTACAGATCTCGCCTGATTGTATGCAGACTGTTAATTCCTTTCTTCTTGGGCAGATGAACTCTCACTTTGAATAAATCCATGAATTGTTGACTCAATTGTCATGCTCTTTTGGGAGGCTGTGGGTCTGTTCTTGTTTTCACCCAGAACCCATAATAAGGATTTAAAAGAATGATGGTACATTTGTTGTGAGTTTGTCTTTTTTTCCCATCTATGGCTTACTGTTACAAATGTGCTTCACATTTCCTTGGTGCTGGGTTTGATCCCAGGATTTGGCAGCAGACTGCCTTGCATTGGTTTCAACAGTGGTATCGAGAGCTGATCGTTCAGAAAGCAACGGCAAAGTAGTGAATGTAAAATTGTCTAGAGAAATCACAGACTGCCAAGAAATGCTGGAATTGGTTCTGCAACCTTCTATAAAGGACACACAAATTACTGTATCTTTATTATATTTACCTTTCATTGTGAAAACAATTACTTCTGTATGTCCAGAGTAAGTACTTTTGTCTTTTCACAGAGATGAATCTATCAGCATTTAACATTGTTTTAATTTTGCAGATGTGCAGGATTATGCGTGTATGAAGGCAGAGGTGGTTTGTGCTCGGTAAGACTGAGCCTGCCATTGTTGAAGCTGAGGCCAAGGAAAGACTTAGTCGAAACACTCTTGGTAGGTATCAGATGACACTTGTTAACATTGTTGTTGCTATGTAATTTTGGTGCTTCTAGATGCTGGCATGGAAGCAACTGTGGTGTAATGAGGTCGTGAGTTTAAATCCGGATTGTTTTTATATGTTACTTTGGCTCTCAAATTGACCAAGCCTCCTGTGTGTGCCAGATGATATTCTGGGAAGTAAAGGCAGACCACCGAGGACCAATTGATCTATACAGAATATAAGTCTAGCCTCATAGGCCTGATGTGCCAGTGGTGCAAAAGGGACCTTTACAACATGCAGGCATACCACAGCTTTTAATGGAGCACCTCATGATAGTTGCACTCACAACACTTTTAATTAATTTTGTCCAGAGACAGGGCTAATTTCTGACTCTTCTTTTATCACATATAATTGCTACACTAACTCAGTTTCTTCTTCCTTATCCTTTGAGTGACATGATTGTATTGTGCCCGTTTACAACATAGCTGCAATATTTGTACGTTTTGGCTGACATATCAGATTTGTTGGGCATTTATTTACCAGACTAGCTTTAATCTAGAAATTGTCAGGATTTAAGAAGATAAACCTATAAACTAGTTCATAAAGAGTTAAATGACAGCTGTATCTTGAATTTGAAATGTTAACACTTTCTTGACATGAGAATCCTAATTTAGCATTTCATTATCAGCCACAAAAATAAACATAATTTCTGTCATTACATATGAAAATAGTACAGAATTAGTAACTTGGTCACATTTTAAAGCAGTTTTTTTCTTCTTAGCGTTCACTGGCTGTAAATTCTGGCGGACAGTTCTGGTCGTTCATCCACTCCTCGACTTAGTCTTGATCCAGAACTTGAGATTTTTTGTGCATATCTGTTTTGCAGATCTGGCTTATTTTTTATGCAGACTGTTGGTTCCTTGTCTCTGCAGAAGATGCACACTGCTTTGAAGAAAACTCATAACTAATTCACCTCATAAGACATGCTTTTTAAGGAGGTGGCAGGTCTATTTGTTCTCCAAAATGGAGCCTCAGAACCCTAACAGAGATAAGTAAAGTCAAGAACACTTTTCGCATCATTGTCACTTGGTTAGTAGACCTATATTTATATAGGCTTAATGATATGTAATTGGTGACATAGTCGACATCATGCAGATCACCTGTCCCTTCCAGGACATTTTCCAATACCAATTTTAGACTGAGTCAGTCCTGAAGCAGAATACTTGCGCTGCCTACTATTGCAAATAGGCTCAAAGTTCTGCAGACAAAATCATGTTTCGGAGTAGCTGCAGACAAAAGGGTAGAGCTAAAGGTCACAGACTGATAAAGGAAGGTCTTGAATGGTGCAGGCTGAAAACGGATTTACAATAAGACGGTTACTGGTACCATCAGAATTGGAACTCTCACTTGCTGCTGAAGATGTGTCCTGAGTGCTGTGATTTTGATTCCTAATTCGATATTCAACATTAAAGCTGAATTGTAAACCGGGAAATATCCTGAAGTCGGCACAGAACCAATTTTAAACGTTGTCTTAAATGTGTTGGTTCCGGGTGGGGGGGGGGGGGGATAGACTCACTGCCTCTCCAACAAGCATGTCCTAGGAGTCAACTATTTGGGGACTTCCTTTGAAGTCACAATGCATCTGCCAGAGCGGCAAGGAACGACCAACTGCACCCAAATAAGCCAGTAAAACGGATGCACTGATGAACAAAGAAGGAAAACAACTTTATCGATAGACAACAGATCAGATGGTTTGGCCATGTAACAAGATTGGCATCATACAGGGCACCACCAAGAGCAGTGTTGTACAGATACAGAGGCAATAGATCTTGAGGTTGACCAACTGAAAAAATATCAGAGACACTGAAAAGTACAGAAGGGCCCGTTCCAGAGATCCCTTGCTCCCCTTTCCAGGAGTAGAGGAAAGAAGATCTTGAGAGGTAAAGATGGCTGACATGATGTTGACTACATTACTCATCAAGCGCTGAATGGTCTGTTAACAAAATGACTAGCATCAATTGCCCAGTCTGTCATTGTATAAAGGTCCTTTTTATTTAAACATATGAAATATGAGGTGCTTGATTAATATCCTATCCCAGATGATGTCACGGGTCAGTCCAACAATTTAGAGGGTGGTGAGACTGGGTTTCCCGGCTTTCTGATGCTTTTAACTACCCCAAAAAATATAGAACTGGCCCTAACCCCAACCCACCTACGTCCCACAATAGAGTGCAGCCTATCTACTACCCCCTTAAATATTAGACTGCCCTGTGGATTCTCCCTATTTGGAGTAGGATATTAATAACATATTAATAAAGGACTTAATATAATCTCAGCTTATTTCCTTGTAATTGCTGGCGTTTAAACACACACACACACACACATATATATATATATATATATATATATATATATATATATATATAGACACGCACACACACACAGATATATATATATAATGGTGTTATTTCACAGTAATAACTCTCTTTATTCACTTTTTTTTTTAGCATGAAATGATTCACGCCTACCTGTTTGTCACAAACAATGATAGGGTAAGTTTGCATTTGTAAAATATGAAAAGTAAATTTTCACACATATAGGCTCACACACACACACACACACACGCATGACAAAAGCAATAGTTTACACAATTAAATGTATTGCATATTTTGCAGGATCTCATTTATTCAGTAGAATTTAATCAGTATACAGTGAAGCATAAAAATGCACTTTTAGATGAAATACACAACATACCTATCCTCTGTAGTGATATACAAATGGATAGAATTTAATTTTGGCCTATGGTATGAAATAAAACGTGCACAAGCAGACATGAATGATACAGGTATTGAGATGGATTCTTAGGAACAGATACCATGGACTCATAGAGGTGGGGGGGGGGGATAAAATAGGGCTAAATGAGAAAATTATAACAGAAAGGTTGGTTAAAAAGCTGAACATTGAGAAGCATTTTAAAGACATGCTTTGGCAACAGCAGTACTGAAATCTCACGCTGTAATCATGAAAGACTTTTCTTAACGTCAGCTGGTCATCCTAGTCACACTCACCATCGCCACAGGCCAGTCACCATCATCATCGCCACAGGCTAGTCACACACACCATCGCCACAGGCTAGTCACACACACCATCGCCACAGGCCAGTCACACAAACCATCGCCACAGGCCAGTCACACACACCATCGCCACAGGCTAGTCACACACACCATCACCACAGGCTAGTCACACAAACCATCGCCACAGGCTAGTCACACACACCATAACAGATAATGTATATTTTTTTAAATTTTCATTCGGACATGTTATGAAAATTTTACATAAAACACACAAAATTGAATCTTTTTAGATCTGATTAATGTACATATTATGAAAAATACAAAGTATATACTCTGTTATGTTTATTGAAAACAAAAATACAATCTGCAATTACCGTTTTTATTTATTTATTTTCTTTGGTCATACGTGTGTGTAGTGAGTCATTTTCTCCTCATTAATTTATGCCCGATAGATGACGTCAGTAATAGATGTAAGACGAATGTTTTGACTGGCTGAGATAACACGAGATTTATGTCTTGAGTTTCATGAGAGACATCTGAAAGTCAGGTTTTATGTGAAACATGATTGTTCACAGGATTTGTGTGAAATGTGAATTATCACGGGCCAGACACGACTTTCAACAGTGGGAAATTCGTGAGAATGAATCCAGAATATTCTAGAACAGGATAGATCAGAGGGCTATATAATAGCGAAGAAAAAGTTTGTGAGCAGTCTCGTTTTGGACCTAGGAACAGTGTGCATGGACAGCGGTGGATGATGTGTGGATTCAGCAGATGTTTTTGTGAGTGAATTTGTTCCAGTCCAACTTGGCGAAAAAAGCTGGCCAGTAATATGTCTGCGGGTCGTCTGAGTCTGTCTGACAGCTGCTGTGTTTCGTTCAAGATGTTAGTGTGATTGTGATTTCTGCTTGAAGGTAATAGTTGACACTTGCATTATAATGTGTGTCTGGACAGTTGTCAAGTTCATGTGCCGGCTGTGTAAGCCGCGAGTGGAAGATTAAAGTACTGGAACAGTATCGTGTCCTTTTCCAGTCGTCCATTTTTTCTGCTCGTCGAGTGATGTCGGTTTGTGAGATGGCAGCGAGCATGCGATGAGGCGAGCCAGTAGAAGAGAAAAGAGAATCATCGCAGTGTGAATGTTTATAGGCTCCATTGGTCGTAAGTAAAGGAGAAGGTGTATTGTCACCAAAAAAATGCATGATCTCAGGATTTTTACCCAACTTTCTTCGCTGCAGTTTTACCATATATTGTTGGGCCCACTAGTTCACACAATCTTTGATGGCTTTAGGTGAATAAAAGTATGTGCTCCATCTGGGCATAAGGAGCAGAAGAAGATGTGTTTGCACATTGTTGGTTTTTATCCCCATACTGTCTTGTGGGCAACATGATACCTTTTTTTTTGTTGGGTTGTTTTATCTATCAGGATCACAGTGGACACGGCCCAAACTTCTTGTCACACATGAAAAGACTTAACAAGGCAACCGGAGCTAACATATCGGTATACATCTGTTTTGTTATTGTTGGTGTTGCTGTTTTTTTCTTTCTTTATTAAGTGCTGCTGTAAATATATTATTTCATTCCTTTTAATTTTGACTTTTTTGTTTGCGTTCTTTCCTGCCTATCCATTTCCTTTTTTTTTTCCGACTTCAACATGGCTGCTGACTGTTATTTTATGTATTTGGGTGGTTTTTTTTTAAATTTATATAATGTGCTGATGAAGGCTTTGTAGTCGCAGTGTTCACTTTCAGTTTGTGTTTTTTATATTGTGAAGCTGACTGGTCTACTTTTTGTTAGGTTTTATATATTTTTATAAAAATATTGAGGCAGATTTCAGGGATTTAATTATCAGTTTGTCAACTCTTGCAGCCCAGAAAATGTCGCAGCAGTTGTCCAAAGAAGACATATGTCACAGTAAACACTCCCTCTGTGGGTTCTGGGACCCTGTTGTGCGAAAAACAATAGTAGACCCACTGCCTTCCAAAAAAAAGCATGTCGTAAGAGTCAACCAATTGGGGACTTCCTTCGAAGTTGGGGTGCATCTGCTTTAGAGACAAGGAACCAAGAGTCTGCATTTAAATAGGCCAGATCTGTAAAATGGATGTGCATGTCACACTCAGATTCTAAAGTCCAGAGGTAGACGAACAGCCAGAACTTTCCGCCTCAGTTTACAGCCAGTGAACGCGACAAAGAAGAAGAATCATTGAGAACATGGGAGTCCCCGTATGGGCTCTGCCACCCTGTTTTGAGAGAAACAAAATATTAGAACTACTGCCCTCTTAACAAGTATGTTGTAAAAGACAACCAGTTATGAATTTACTGAAAACAAGGTGTTGGCTGAAAGAATATCGCAGCCTAGTTTTGGACCACAACACAGTGTGCTAATCACTAACCACTTTTTTCAGGTGAATTAATAAGAGAAAAAAAGAGCATGTGTTTGTTAACTTTCAAAGATACAACATGCCCTACTGTGCGTTCAAATATTGTTAAGTAACTAAAAAAAAGAGAAGAAGAAGCAGAGGAAAATACACATGCAAGTAAATGTTTCATCCTAAGTCTTTCCTCAGCAAACAAAACAGCATAAATTATTACGGTCTGATCATAAAAATGCATAAAATAGGCTAGCTTATGGTTCATTGGTAAAGACTTGAATAAAAACATTTAGATGTATTTGTGCATGTCTTTACATTTAGTGGCTGAGGGGTTACCCACACGGTTTGAAATTCTAGAATACCTGGTTTGATTCAGCTGGGGGTAATTTAGCAGCTGACTGCTTTGTGTTGACAATAGTACGGAAAGCCAGCCATTTAGAGAGCAATGACAAACTACTAAATATAAAATTGCCTGGTAATTGTCCTAAGCACTTGGCCAGCGGCTTCTCTAGATTATTGTTTACTGTCCTTTATGTCAATTTTTACTCATGTATTGTAATATTTCAGGTGTACCACACATTCAATGATGAAGTAGATTCTTACCAACAACACTGGTGGCGCTGCAGTGGTCCCTGTCAGCGGAGAGCTCCTTACTTTGGTTATGTGAAGAGGTCCATGAATCGGGCACCTTCTGCTAAAGATTTTTGGTGGCCAGAACATCAAGCAACGTGTGGTGGAGTGTATACAAAGGTCAAAGAACCTGAGGGATATGGACAGAAAAAACCAGGAAAGGGCAAAGGAAAAGAAGGTGTTTATTAGTTAATCTTTATCTTTGCTGAAGTATATAATTTTATTTATGGTGCTCAGATTGAGCTGTCGTTATCAGTTTCCACTTTTGCAGTTAAGCATCATGAGGAGGAACATTTGTTTGCGATCCATTGCTTGATGGGTAACAGTGGCTTTTGGCTATTTTCATTTCTTGTTGATGTAGAAGGTCTTTAATATCATCAGTCCATATTCTTCTAAGGCGACCTCTTACTTCCATATCAGATCTTTTACATGTGGTGCCTGTGTTGGTAGTTGTTGTGGGCGGACTTCTAGTAATTCCCTCTGGTCTCTGGGTAGTGAGATCGGACGCGCGTTTGCATTTATGCGCACGTAAAAAATCCCTTGCCGGTTGGAAATTGAAAAGAGTAGCCTAACGGCACTGCCTGGGCAAAATTTGGAGTTAAAAATCAACCCAAAGTATTTCAGGATCCTCGTCGGTGCTACAGAGCCTGTGCACTGTGCTGAGCTTCTTCGGACTCATACTTGAGTTAAAAAAAGAACGGAGCACTTATGGATTGCACATGTGTTCCATCAAGTTGATTGGTTGTTCAAAACCTTAATTTCACAGATGTTAATTTTACCTAGGTCAGCCGTTGATAATATTTGGCACTGTTAGCGCAGTGTTGGTATTAATATACTGTTTGTAATCTGTTTCTTGGTGGTCATAAAAAAGTTTGTCTTAATACGGCTTTGATTAGTATATAAGTGCACTTATATGTGAATATTTTGCTAATGTTCCAGTATGCACATGTGATCATCAGTCAGGTGCCATCTCCACAATGAAGGTTAGCTGCGATGGATCTCCAACACTCTCTTGTCTTGGTTGTACATCCTCTCAGACTTCTGTTCGTCCATCTCTTGATCTTCAGAACCTCTGCATCTGATGGTTTTTGTTTCTATGGAATATGACCTACTCTTCTGTATATACCTCTCTGCAGAGACTCCTTGGTTTTCCGTTGCTTGTTATTTGTCCAGGTTTCTGCACCCTATTTATTGTGATCATATATTTTTTTTAAAATACTATGCCCTTCAATATCTGCTAAAGTCAAAGTGTCTGTCACGCAACAACAAGATCAAAATATATAAAACGTTGATAAAACTAGTTGTTTTTTATGGCTCTGAAACTTGGAGCACAACTAAAAGAGATGAAGCCTTATTACAGGTTTTTTAAAACAGTCTTATGATGAATCTTTGGACCCATCAAAGATAAAACAGCGGGAAATGGACTGTGAGAAACTACAATGAAATTCATAATCTGTTTAAATCCCATTGATCACTGGCATCATGAGAGCTAATAGACTGAAATGGTTGGGGCATATTGAGAGATAATAGAGAGGTGAAAACTGTATACACAAGGGAGATGAATGGTCGTAGACCTTGAGGCAGACCAAGAAGACGATGGAGAAATAGTATCCAGACAGACCTGCAAGCACTTGGTTTCATCAACTGGAAAGAGAAGGCCAGCCAGAAAGATAAATGAAAGTGGGTGATATCTGCAGCAATGAACCTCAAGGGCTTGGAATGCTGAAGAAGAAGATATTTTTTTTAATGCCGTGTTGAGCATTGATCTATTATGTCTGATTTCTGTATGTATGAAAGACTAGTATGGGGTTAATAGATAAACTAGCTTGAAGTCATTCCAAAAACTAGTATAAGTATTTTAAAGAGTAGTCGTCTCACAAGTGCAAAGTCATTCAAAAGTCTAGTGTCAAGTTAGCCCAAAGACTAATATGAACTGGAAATCAGCCAAAGTCAGCTTAATGATTAGTGCAGAGTCGGCCCAAATTTTAATGTGTGAAGTTAGCCCAAAGACTAATATGAACTGGAAATAGCCAAAGTCATCTTAATGATTAGTGCAGAGTCGGCCCAAATGGTAATGTGTGAAGTTAGCCCAAAAACTAATATGAACTGGAAATAGCCAAAGTCAGCTTAATGATTAGTGCAGAGTCTGTCCAAATGTTCATGTGTGAAGTTAGCCTAAAGAGTAGTGTAAAGTCAGCCTAAAGAGTAGTGTAAAGTCAGCCTAAAGAGTAGTGTAAAGTCAGCCTAAAGACTAGTGTGAAATTGTTAAACAAGACACTGCCTTAATAAATAACACTTGGGATTGCCCATAAATGTGTTCCAGCCTCACATTGTTATAGACTAAATCATTATATGATGGTTTACCTAGTCAGTATCAAGTCAGCCACCTTTATTTCTAAGAGCAGTTCCTGAAAAAATCCATGTTAGGCTGTGTTGACTTGGAAGTCTTGGCAGATTTTCAAAAATTCCTCTAAGACAAAGAGGTTTTGAACACATGTCACTGGGCCATCAGGGGAGTGTTCTAGTTGCTGTGCTGTTTTAGCTCCCAGGTGCACTTTTTGTGTGTGCTTATACCATAGCATAATTTTTTTCTTTTTTAAAAGTCTTTTCGTTCAGTTACTTCATCAGATTGTTGGGGGAAGATGTAAGGACATTTTTTTTCTCTAATGCGTGTTGAATAAGTATCTTTTTTTCTATAAGGCTCTTGTGGATAATGTTGTTCCCTATTTTGGGTTGTCTTCTCCTTGCTCTATATTTATTATATTTCTTCAGTATGGCTCTCTATGAGAGTTGGTGCCAGGGCATGCTCGTCAGATGGCCAGACCATCTCATCTATTGCTTTGAAATGAATGTATGACTGGTTTTAGGTCGAATCTTTTCTAATTTTTTTTTTCTTTTTAAATATTGTTTTTTTTTCTTGTTACTTCAGCAGCTCTTCTAAGACAACCCATCTCATTTATGATTTTGCGCCCATGATAGCAGAAATGAGATGTCATTCAAATTTCCACAGGTCATTTAAATCTGCAACATAGTTTTTCTTCACAGTCATCAAAACTGTTTCTTAAGAAATTTCTGGTTTCCTAATATTTGTTTCTTTATGGTTTTTGTCTGATATTTTTCTGCCGTTCAGTTATAATTTATAATCTTTAATTATTTGCAGGTGCTGGTAATGCTGTTGAACCATCAAAGGATATTAGAACATTTTGGGGAAATGGACACATCCTTTCCTCAAACACAGAAGCTATTAACAAAGCTGCTGGTGCATCTCCGTCTCAGAGAAAGTCAGGGACACATTTCATGAACACAGCAACGTTCAGCAGTGGTGCAGGTCCGAGCAACGCTACAACTGGTCAAAGATCAGTTAATGGTGCATTGTCTAACCCATCCTATAACCACAGAAACAAATCAGCTGTGACAGATCCTTTATCACGTGACAGAAGTGAGATTTTCCCCAGTGTGTCTTTCAAACAGGCAGCAGATAGGGATCACCCTGACAAATATTCAGCATCTACTGTGATTACTGCAAACCGTAAAACTTCTGTAAACAGCAACAGTACAGTTTCTGACATACGCAAGGAATTGTCAGATAACAGTTCATCTCAACCAGTTAAAAGGAACACATCTGCTAACAATAATAATACCAGCTCAGAGACCAGAGTTGGGAAAACTAATTCTAGAAGTGATTTTCATAAGCATTTTGATAATAGTTTTTCCATTAACAAAAAGCAGAAAAACTCACCACACTTAAACAACAAAAAAGTTGTATTTCCCAAAAACTTTGTTAGCGTTTGTGTTGGTGGGGACTCCTCAAGTCCTATAATTTCGGTGAAAAGGAAAAAGAAGAAATATGTTATGGATGAATTAGACTCAAATGACGGCTTATGGGATGAAACAGCTGATCTCACTGCTGATTTAAAACGTGGTCAGTTATCAAATGAACTGAACAGCACAGGAAAGATAGGTAAGCTTGATTCTAATAACAGGGCTGAGGAGAGGGGCAAACTTCCTGCAGGTTTAACAAACCATAGAGGAAATGGTTCAATACTTCAGAAAATGAACTCGCCAAAAAGTAAACCTTTTCAAGCAAGTGCACAATCTTTAGTTAAAACGGACGTGAAAACAGGTGAAATAAAGAATGGTAATGGGGCCGAAAAGCGTAAAAATGATGATGTTTCAAGATCAGGTACAAGACTTGAGATTGACAACTTCCACAGCCGGGCATCAGTTTCAGAACGGGGTGCCGCCGGGTTTTCAGGTGAAGGTTTCAAGCTGGGAACAGGAGAAAGCGGTTCTTCATTTTTGTCACAGATAAGAAAAACCTGGCAGGAGAAGTCATACAGTGCTGCTTCTGCCAGCAGTAGAGAGCCCTCTCATAGCTCACCAGGCAGCAGACTTTCCCAGTTGTCACACATAGATCAAATGAACGCAGGTTCATCTTTGCTAAACAAGAAGAGGACATCGATGGAAGCTTTTGGCGCACGAGTAAATAATTTAGACAGTTATAAAACTGTGAAAGTTGATAAAGAAATATCCAGACATAACCATAGTAGTATACAAAATACATCAGTAAGTGAATCTCCTAATGAAGTTATCCATATAGATGTATCACATACACTTGTAAAAGTACCTTGTCCCGTCTGCAGTATTTCGGTTCCAGAAAATACAATAAATGCTCATTTAGATCTTTGTTTGTTAGCATGTTGATCCATATCAAGCGCCCTGGTTAATTGGGGAAAATAATAGCAGAATGCATTGTACCAGGAAATTGGGGCAGAGGCTGACCAGCATAAAGATCATCATCATCGTCATGTGCCCTGCCAACTGGCGTTGGCGCTCATGCCTCTCCACAGATCATGATCCCTGGTTGCCTGGAACAGCTCTCTTGCCATCGTTTCAGCCCATCCAGCATCATTTCTCTTGGTCTGCATCTATGCCATTTTCCACGGATCTTTCAAGTTGTCACTATGTTCTCCAATATCCCTCTTCTCGTTATGTGGCCAAAGAACGGTGTTTGTCTCTTTCTTATTGTTGTATATAGAGATTTACTTTTATTAGCTTCTTTCAAGCAATCGTTGTTAGTTACTCTGGCCGTCCAAAGTATTTGTAACATTTGTCTCAGAAACCACATCTCTGTTGCTTCCAAATTCTTCCTAATCTGTTTACTGACATTTGCAAGATTGGCTGCCATACAGCATGAAGATGCGCACAGAATATGACTCCTTGGATGTGAAAGTGCACTAGGCGGGAAAGCTGGCGAGAGACCAAGTTTCTTTCAGACAGACTGATAAGAGCAATGCTCTGCAATGGACCTACTAAATGTGGATGATAAGCAAGTTGATCATAAATTCATGTGTACAGCATTTAGTCGTCTTCTTGTGTTTTCAGCCCCTTAATGGGGCAGTTGGTATGCTGTGTTGTGGTTTCAGCTAGGCGATGATATCTTCACCTTTTAACTCAAATCTTTGTCATCATCATCATCATGTGCCCTGGCAGCTCATGCATCTCAGCAGATCAAAATAATGTGGCTGCATTCCACATCCACATTGGATATTTTAACCTGCACCTTTGACAGTAATTTCCGACTGTCAGGACAAGTTGGTGCCCTTCTCTGCCCAGCTGCGGAGTGATCCACTTATTCCGGTGGATACTCAGTCACCAAATCTGTTAGCCTCACCATGGTGTGTTTCCCACCCTCCACAATTTGGAGGTGCGGGTTGGGATTTTCCCTTTCATCAAATTTGAGACCAGGATGGCATTTCTCAAGCTCTCAAGGTACTTTCTGGAGGCCTCATCATCATGATTTGATTCAAGAACCGACATCACAGCACTCTGGGCATTCCCATAAGCCCTCCATCCCCATATTCAGCAGCCAGCGAAGAGTTCCGATACTAATGGTGCCAGTAGCATTCTGATTAAACGTCCATCTTGCCTTTCCTGTGAGCCTCGAGCATCTGCCAGAACCTCTCGTCACTCCCCCCTGCATCAATCTCACCAGACTGGTGATCCATCTGCTCCTCCGAACTGTACACACTCTCACACAAGGCACTAACCACATCTGCCTTATCATGCATCAGTATTCCACCAAGTTGTGCAGAGCCAGCCAGTCTGTCCGCCTGTTCATTTCAACCAAGTTTAAAATCATAAAGTTGCAGTAAACCTCTTATTGCCTTTTACGACATGCACCCTAACGTGATTCATTTAAAGATCATTGCACATTGCACATGACCATTGCTCAAATCACCTCCTGAGTATCTCTGCAAGTGTTTTTAGGCAAACAACTCCCATTCTGTTCTGATGAATGGTTGTTGTAATGACGGGTGGCTGCCGCATGTTTTCCTTGTCCTTCTCCAGTTGGTACAACCAGGGTGTGCAGTCTTTTCAGTGAAAAATCATTTTTCACGAAACTGAAAGCTTCTCATCGTTTTGTCTCTTGTCTGATATTGATAAAGTTTCTCCTGTCTATAGATGGCCTATTTCTGATAATCGTGTTGCCAGCCAGTGAATCTGCTCTCTCATTGCCTTTCACATTTGCATGCTCTGGGACAAAAATGAAAAGAATTTTGCAGAACGCTGTGTGCAGTTTCTACAAGCTTGTGGGTGAAAGGCAACTTACTAGAAGTTTACCGAAACTGAATGAGTTGGATAAAAAGATGCAAATATCATGGCTCGGCTAAAAATAAAATTCTGCTGGGGACATATTTATTTAGTTAATCAAGTATTCTTCTTGAGTGTGTTCGTATTAATGAAGTTTTACTGTTCATCCCTAAGTTTTTCAGTTGGGGGCAAAATTAAGCATCTTAACCTGTACTGTCCATAGTGACAATGCTAGCCATGCAGCCTGAATCCTGAGGCTCACGATCCCCCTGCCTAAAAAGTGGTAAAACAGACATTAGTGACAGTTGGGTTCACTGTATTACCATTGATTCTTTGTAATACTTACAAATACTTTCTTTATCATTTGATGATAAGGGCTCATCACAAAAATACTTCAATTTTTAAAATGGTATTTGTTTTTGGCCTTGTTGTTTTTCTTATCATATATACATTATGCATCTTCCATCTGATGTTATTTGTGCTTTTGAGTTTGTTTATGAGCACTAATTATGTGCCATTTACATCAATAGCAGCTGTGAATGAGACTGTTTGTTTTGTTGTTACATTAGTTCTGTTGTCATGCTATTCATTTTAGATTTATATAGCCACTTCATTAACAATCGTAGCATCTTCTCTTTTGTTTATGTTTATTACTTACTGTGTAAATTATGTTTCAAAAGTTATTTTAAAAATCTACCATGCCACCACTTTTGAATGAAAAAAAGATTCTTAATGTTATATTTTATCCATTTCTGGCTTGATGTTTTCTAATGTCACATTCTGCATAAAGTCACTAACAGAAAGTACTTGACCCTGTAACAAGAGAAGCAGCTGTTAAAGGATGTAGTGGGTGTGAAACACGAAAAAAGAAAATAACTGTTACATTTTGGTTAACAAAATGAGAAGGTACAGGAAAAAGCCTGCATGATATTCACCAGTAGGCATGGCGATAATAATAGTGATTTTCTGTTCCAGTATTAAACGTTTTGTATTCATTTTGAATATATTTATGTTACCTTGATTTGGCATTGCTAGTGTTATATAACACTACTTATGGAACAGGTGATTTGGTCAGAACATCCATTCACTTAGCCTGCATTTTAATTAAAGAAATATTATTCTAGTAATTTTTAAGGATGGCCTCCTTTGCTTTCTGCCATAGCGTCCATTTCCAGACTGCTGGCAGTTGAATGTGAAAAAAACAACAACAGACCAGCCTATGCTTAATGGCCCCACAAAACATTTTGTTTTTCTATTGCCATTATTGAGTATTTATTACTAATGTTATTAAGTACGCTTCACTATTTATCACAGGAAAGACACACCAACAGACAGGCTTTACTTTATTGTCATCATATCCCAAGAAATTGTAACTTTATCAAATAAATGTTTTCCCATGTGGATGCTAGGATCCCATTTTTTGGGGAAAGGAATACAAGTACAACCATTGTTGCCCCTAAACAGGTTTTGAACAACGGAGCAGCAACATGGCACACGAGTGTAACACATAAGTGCTCCTAATTTTTTTAAAGAACAAATCTGAGTCAGAATAAGCTCAGCACAGTGCGCAGCCTCTGTAACACCGTTGAGGATCCTGAAATAATTTTGGTAGATTTAAACTCAAAATTTTGCCCAGGCAGCACCGTTAAGCTGCTGTTTTCGATCTCCAACTGCCAAGGGATTTTTTACGTGCACAACAATGCACACGGGCGTCCGATATCACTACCCAGAGACCAGGGGGAATTACTAGAAGTTCAAGTCCACATGAAAAAATCCCAGCCCCCACCGGGGATTGAACCCGAAACCTCTAGTACTCGAGGCGTACACCACGCAGCTCCCTGCCCCTTTACAGGCATGTCATAAGAGATTACTAATTAAGGGTTTGCTGAAATCAGGAATGTTGGTAGAAAAGTGTAGATAAACCACAACACGGCGTGCCAGCTGTCATTTTCAGGGTGAATACAGAAGAATTTACAACTGACTTACTGACTTACTTAGTCGCTTCTCTTCTACCTTGGGGTGTAGAGGTTTGCCAGAAAGATCGCCAGACGTCTCTGTCAGCAATTTTCTTTCTGGCTTTGTTCCATTCCAGTCCTCTGCCACTTAGGGGCTGTCGGATGTTGTCTTCCCATTGCACCCTGGGTCGCCCTGGAGGTCTGGTTCCCTGGTTCCTAACCTTCCCATGCCTGCTATGGTGGCTGATTTTCTCCTATTCTCCATACACGTCCAAACCATGGTAACTGTGACTGATCCACCTGGGTTTGTAAGGACGGGGTGTCAGGAACTTGACGTATTATCTGATGACAAAGTCTGCAGTCAGAATACAGAAGAAGAAGAAATAACTGTTTGAATAAGGAAGTTACCTTGGAAACGCTATGAGACAGGAGGATGTTAGGTAAAATTTGGGACAAACTGGGTTAGTTAAAAAAAAAAAAACTAAATGAGGCAAAAAATTAAAGCTGAGAGGGTCAACTTTCTTGCACTAGATTTAATTCCATTTAGCTGGGTCTTTCTCTGCACAATGGCTAGCTTTGGTGGTGATCCCCAGAATCACAATAAATATTGCACTCATGAAACGAACGGCCAAAACGTGAAACGAACCCTTGACCTTCTCCGGAGAACAAGGCAGATGGCTTGACCACTTCACCACAGAGACTCAGAGGCACCAGGAGTTAAGAGAAAAATATAATGTTAATAGAAACTTAACTCATAAACGCATTGTGAGGTATTTGGTACTGAATAAGTTAATATCCATATAACATAACATAATCCTTGACCCATAAGGGCCGTAGAGATGTTTTAATGAAAGCACTAGCACGTAAAACCCGCCATCTTTCTCTGTCTTCTGCTTGATGAATAGAAGTATGATAACTAAGTCTTGTCCATTTCTTGATGTTGTCATTCCAGGTTCTTCTTTGCACTCCTCTTCTTCGACTTAACACCACCACACACCCCCCCCCCCCCCTTTTCCATGTTTCGTGAAGTACAGTCTTTGCAATCGAATCATGTTTCACCACGTTCCCAAACCAAGCTAGCTTGTTTACGTTTTACCACTGCCAAAAGAGGCTTCTGATGTCCTGCAAATTTGTATATTTTGTCTCCAACATATT